AATTATTCTTAGATTTTGTTATGTTTTGACTCACATTATACTAATAAGTTGAAGCAGAAGTGAAGGCATATATAAAGAGCTTACATTTAACTCCATTATGTAATCATGAAAAAAAATCCTTTAATGTATTATTAAAGTGTAGAAAAACCTGCGTGGTTAGCCCATGCTACACTTAAAACTTTTAACACTATCGTCATCAAAAGAGTGCCCAACCAGTGATAGTACCATAAATAATAAAAAGTTAATATGTCAAAGTTCGATTTCAACAACTTACTGAACTTAAATAAAGGAATTTCACACTAGGTGTAGTAAAGCGTATGCCCATGGAGGGCCGCGTTTACCCGCATAGGGATGCACAGGTGTTCAAAGCATCCCCATGCGTGCATTGGTGCTGCTTTGGGACATAGCAGCTGTAAGGATACAGATACTGCTCCCAATTCTTATCTCACGAAGCCCAGGATATGCAGTTGAAGGCTCAGGACAAGAGGGTTTTTTTGTACATTTAGCCCTGCTATGGCAGGGTTTAGAGATGACAGTCTACTCTGCCTGGTAAAAGCAATCCGAGTGGCTAACTAGCCACTGGATCACTTTTACAAGCAGCTCTACCCCGTCCTTCCACCTACCGCGTTCTTTCCCATCCCACTGAGATGCCTGATTGACATGCCGGCGCTTCTGCTGGGTGATCATAGTGGCAGACAAAGACTGTACTGCTCTATCCGCCCCTATGGTATAGGAAACAGATAGCAATGAGCATACATCACTTCCGATTTTCCTGGATGTAAACGGCGCCAAAAAATTGACAGCATCTCTACAAGCCCATCAGACTCTACTGCATTGGACAGGGAGCTGGCTGATAGGAGAGGAGATCACAGAGCTGACTTCATCAGTGTATTTGTATTCATTTTCTAATCACAAGCTGGGACAGTCCTCGACCAAGTTGTATTACTGTAAGTACAATTGAATAGTAAGACCAGAAGCAGGCTGTGATGTTTGATGGCATGTTTGAATTAGAATACTGAACAGAATTACACAATTTTTGGACAGATAGTTCACCCTTACGTACTTCGCCTGTGAATTTAGCTGCTCCACATTAATAGTTTTACGTTAATTCACTGTGTTTCTGGCAAAACCTCAGGTAAATGTTTTCCGCAGTTATTAAACACATTCACTATCCATGCTCACCCAGTTGAGTCACATTTGCTGCCAAATGATGAACATCTGGTCTTCCTATTCTTGGGGAAATCTGTGTTTCAATAACATAATTTGTGATTTCAGTACAGCCAAATATACATTTCCTCATTTTGATTTCTTTTAAATATTTTCCATTTTCAAAAATCAAAAGTTTTTTAACTCATTTTTCCTTAGGCTAGTAACCTGGTGAAAAGTTTGAAAGTATAATGGTGCATTCTTGCCTCTGCTCATATATTTCTCTTTGATGAATGCCTGGTGTGTGAAGGTCAAGTTCATGACATTGACACCAGGCTCCTCCACGGCTTTCTCTCTGGCCAAGCCCACGGCACTTCTCCTTTCCCAATTCCTCATTCATCCTTCTCCTGGTGCTATCTTTGTGTGTTGTCCAGAAGACAAATATAAAACTATGTCTTGGAACACATGAAGGTAAAACTAGCATACTTTCCAACATATCTGCAGCATATATTTTTTTAGTTTTTTATATATAGCACTTTTTATTCAGGGTTTTGCAGAGAACAATGGTTCCCCAAGTAGTTAACAGTGTAAGCTCTTTTGCACACACAGTACTATCAATTTTGGGTGGAAGGCACTACTTTTTTTGGGATATCTGGAGGGGGTAACATCTCTTTCATGCTTTTTTGCTGTCCATATCATTGCTGGGTTGATTTCCCCTTTCTACGTGTCCTGGTGGCCATTGCCAGTGGCACAGTGGTTAATGAGAAATCCAAAATTACATTTTTACAATTACCCAAAATGTAAGAGGGAGATATCCATAACTTCATAAAGATTTCTTCTCCTTTCCTCTGATGACTATGACAGGAAGCAAAAGGAAGTCTCCCCACCTAGCTATTCTTTACAGTATCCAAACAATAAAAACGGTGTTAGATCAGTTGAAACTTAACAGTGTGTTTTTGTGTTGTTTTAGGAAACTGGAATACCTAATGAAAACTTACATTCATATAGGGAGAGCATACACCATATGACCAAAGACATAAGTTCAGGTGCTTCCAGTGAAGGGCACAACACATAGATATTTCCATCAATTATGTGCTTTCAACCTTGGGGAAATATCTTGGAGCAATCTCTTTTCTGCTCCAGTATGACTGTATCCCTGTGCACAAGGCCAGGCTGATTAGTTTGGTGTGGTTGAACTTAAGTGCCCTGCACAGATTTCTGGACTTTGGGATGACTTGAAACGTGGATTATGAGCTAGGTCGCCTAGTCCAAAGTCAGTACTTGAACTTACAAATGCTCTTTTGGCTGAATGGACACAAATTCCCACAGACACACTCCAAAATCTTGTGGAAAGCCTTCCAGAAGAGTGAGGGTGCATTAACTAGGGGGTTGGAATGAGATGTCCAACAATCTCACACAGGTGTGATGGTCAGGTATCTATAAACATTTGGCCATATAATGTATAAACTGTTTCCCTGGGTGGGGGGAGCAGAATCTAGGATATTTGGCAAACGTGGATTATGAGCTAGGTCGCCTAGTCCAAAGTCAGTACTTGAACTCACAAATGCTCTTTTGGCTGAATGGACACAAATTCCCACAGACACACTCCAAAATCTTGTGGAAAGCCTTCCAGAAGAGTGAGGGTGCATTAACTAGGGGGTTGGAATGAGATGTCCAACAATCTCACACAGGTGTGATGGTCAGGTATCTATAAACATTTGGCCATATAATGTATAAACTGTTTCCCTGGGTGGGGGGAGCAGAATCTAGGATATTTGGCAAGAGTTGAAGACTACTGAGTAATTATACTTGTTGCTGGCGTTACATTTTAAAGCGGAGTTCCACCCAAAAGTGGAAGCCTCACTTATTTGCCCCCCCCCCCCCACTGCCACATTTGGCACCTTTTGGGGGGGGAGGGAGGCGAGTATATGGTTTTGACAGGTACCCGCTCCCACTTTCGGCTCCGTTTGCCGGAAGTTGCCCCCCCCCCCCCTGCAGCCCTCTGGGAAACTCAAAAGGGTCCCAGAGGGCTGTGGCCCATTTACAAAATGCAGCGTGTTTCATGCATGCTCAGTAGGAAACAGGAGCGGGCTGACAACTCATGGGGCCCCCGGGCAATAGGGGATCATGGGGCCCCTGTGTCCTTGCCCAAACTCAAAAAAGCCTATGAAAAAGGTACCAGGGGCATCTCATGGGGCCCCCTACTGACCCCGAGCCCTCGGGCAGTGCCCGAGTTTCCAAATGGTCAGTCCGCCCCTGAGAGGAAACTGTTTCCCTTAGTCAAGATGGCGGAGCCATCACCAGACAGCCAGTTGACGAATAGGCTTGAGGTGAGAACACCGCTAGATCCCTGGACAGGTAAGTGCTCTAATATTAAAAGTCAGCAGCTACAGTATTTGCAGCTGCTGACTTTTAGGGGTTTTTTTTGGGAGGTGGGGAGCCAGAACTCCATTTTGCGTTGTTCATTATAGTCACTGTCACATATTCATTTTGGAGCATTAAGCATAGGTTGAATCCATGCTCCTTCCACTGGCTGCCCTTCCACTCTGATCCACTGCTTGGCCACCCAAGACTCCTGTGTATGTTTTGACTTGTTGAGCAAATGGAAGCTTACACATGGCTATATATGCTTCTGTTCCTTTTTGAGAAGGCTTATACCTGGAGGCTGCATGTTCAGGCATACAGGGTGTGCATCATGTGTTACTCCATACCTGGGAGTACAGGGTTTTTCTCAGGAGTTCTGGTAGCAGAAAATGTGAGCAAGTTATGTGTTCGCAGGCCAGGCCATTTTCTGAGGCCCTCACACCTCTCCTGCAGATGCAACACCCCCCCTCATCTCTGCCCTCACTTTGTCTCAGCAGTCAGCAGCAGAGAGGAGAACAGAACTCCTGCAGATCCTGTGCCTCTCTGTGCAGCAGCAACACCCTCTTGTCTCCACCTCCCCTGGTCCCAGCATTCAGCAGAGTATGGCAACGGACTCCAGACCTCCTCTGGTCCTCCTCCAGACCCTGCACTTGTTGCTTCCCAGCTCTGCTCCAGCTTCTTCATGGCAGCAGCACAAGGTAAGCGGGTACACTGTAATGTACGTGATAGAGAGGGATTCTTGACTTCTGATGGTGGCAGGGCTCTTGGCATCTGATGTAAGGGGGTGGGGGGTGGGGTGCTCTGGACATCTAGTCTTACAGGAGGCAACTTAATGCAGATGCAGCCCGTGATGAAATTGAGTTTGACACCATTGCTTTATATAGTAATGTACCACTATTGGCAAAACACATGTGCACTTCCAAGATGACTCAATCCAAGTAGAGTCAATCGCTATTCCTAATATAAGATTTAACATCTTAACCTCCCTGGCGGTAGGATTATGTCAGGAATTTTGTACCAAAAGCGGTACCATTTTATTGCATGGAAATTTGGTGTTATGTATTGTAGGCCTGCAATTCTTAGTAATTACTTACTTAATAAATACTCATAAAAATAATAATATAATAATAAATTTAATTCAATAATATAATCAAACCAAAACCACTGAAATTTGAAATATAGCGCCAAGTTCACACATCACTGAGCAAAGTCGCAAAATCGTTTTCAGTGTCTGATGACGAATTTCCCCCACGAATCATTATCACTCAATTCTGCAAGTGGTTCTGATTTACTATCGCTGTTCTCTAGCCGGTCTAAAACCGCTTTTGACTTAAAGGGACGCTTTTTGGACGCCGTGGACTTTTCTAAGTTTCCAGGCAGAAAGAACAGTAAAAATGCAGGCAGGGCTCAGGACAAAGCACTCGGGACAAAATGTATGTGAAATGCTTTGATACAGGAATGTTTTGCTACGAAATAATCGTTTTAAAAAAAATGTCATTTTTTTTAAATTTTCAAATTTGCCTCCGGTTCCGGCGCCCGTACGTCCCGATGTCACAGGGACCGAAACACGGAAACCAGATGCCGGCATCGGCTGGAGGAGATGGCCGGGGACACTGCAGGGGACGCATCGCGGGAGCGAAGGACAAGGTAAGCGCTGTAGGGAATCCCTGTGCAACGCCGCATGGTAAGCCCGAGTGTAGCTCGGGGTTACCACTTTTGGTACTGAAACTTTACCCCGAGCTACACTTGGGAATACCACCAGGGAGGTTAACGTACGTTCACAAGTTTTTCAGTTTAAACATTTTTTTTTTTTAATTAAAGGCATATCTGGTGATCTTGCAATGAAAGTCCTTGTGCAAGCATTTCCTGTTATGGAGTGACAACTGTTTCCCAGTTGTGCTCATGCATTGTCACCCTGTCATATGATTGTGACTTCAAGCAGCTGTACCCACACAACACTGCACAGGTATGATCCTCTGTTGTCGCCAATCAGGGACCCGGTCCAGAGCAATAATGTGCAGCTGATGTTGGAACAAGGACAAGTCAACAGGAAATGAAAGAGCCTAAAGGAGATCAAGAGCACTGAGATGCAAAACGGTGAAAATATATTTTAAATTAAAATTGAAGCAAATTGGATCATGCTTTGCTGGGGTTTTTTTTGCCTTCCTCTGGATCAACTGTGGGTATAGGATTATAACATTTTCTTTTTTTTAAATGGTTGAACTGGATGGACTTTTGTTTTTTTTCAGCCAGACTAACTATTTAACTAAAAAATGCCAATTGTATATGAGGAATAGGGGGAGGTTTACTAAAACTGGAGCACCCAGAATCTGGTGCAGTTGTGCATAGTAGCCAATCAGCTCCTTACTTCAGCTTGTTCAATTATGCTTTGACAATAAAATCTGGTTTCTCTGAAGATTTTGCACCATGTAGTTTTAGTAAATAACCCCCAAAGTGCTTTAGCAAACTAAATGCCATTCAGTTAGGGTTTGGATCTACTTTATGCAATGCAATAAATAACTTTTCAGTTCTTCCATGTATATAATTAGATTGACGTCCTCTAGCTTGGTGGTGTTTTAGCAATGAAACCCTTAATTGATTGTGATGGTTCCATCCATGCTCTCATTTGTATATCTAATCAATAGTGAAATCATAAAAGGCCTTTCTTTTAACCTTGCGGTGACAGCTTATCAAAACAGAGTATTTTTAAACAGTGCATTGAGAACATCTAATGAACTGGGGGAGAGCAGGTCTGCATGGCAAGACGTCCGGCTCCGTCTACACGTCAACACATTTTCCAGCCTGATCGCTCGTGTCATGAGGATAATGTTTCCAAATTACATGTTTCCCCTTCTAGGATGTGAACGCCGCTTTAAATTACAACGTACTTCTGTCATCTGTAGAGCAACTTTGCCTCATTGGCTATTCTGGCTACTTAGTCTTTTCATAAAATTTGTAATTTCAAAAGTTATGTAACCAGATTTTCCAGAGCAAAAGAGTGGACACATTAAACAAAACTCTGTATAAGATACAAAATATGGTTGATTTAGGTGTAATGAAGCAGAGAAAAGTACAGTTTTAAACACCTTTTCTCAACCTTTTACCCCAAAGGAACCCTTGGAATAAATTTCAGGTCTAGGAGAACCTCTATTAAAACAAATCATTGGTGGCCAATGGGAAGAATGTCCCCCTTACAGTCATGGTTAGAATGCCACTCAACCCCAGAACTATTCAGGTGCCCTCAAATGGAAAATCAACTAGGCACAGTTCAAGCAACCACCTGCAACCTCTAGAGCAACCCTAGGGTTCCACGGATTTCTGGTTGACAATGGCTGATTTAAAGGTACCCAACATATATGCTTGTCCAAGCTGAGGGTTTGTGGTTATGGAAGGCCCTTCTGAGGAAGGAGGTTATTGGATTACACCATCTTACAGTGGGCCTTGGGGGAGTTAGTTTCCATTCCAGTTGGGTAACAGTTGGTCCCAGAATGAAACATGTTTAGTTTTTTTTTTTTTATAGACCAAATCCCTTACTCCAGGCTCTATGTGGCTAAGTATGTGAACACCTCCCCAAAAGATGTTTCCAAGTAAAGAGTACTCTTACTGCTACAGCATACTAAGACATTTTAGACAGTTGTGAATTCCCAACCTTGTGGTAAAAGTTAAGGGAAGGCTTTTCTTTTTTCCCAGTTTGATTGTGACCCTAAGCACAAAGCTAGCTTCAGGAAAACATGGTTTCATGAGCTTGGTATGAAGGAACTCTATTGGCCTGCACAGAGCTCTGACCCCAACCCTCCTGAGCGCCTTTCAGACTATTAGAATTTTTATTTGCTTGGCAGGTCCAACATCAGCACCAAAACTCATAAATGCTCTTTTGACTTAATAGTCAATAGGATGTCCAACAAGCCCATAAAGGTATCATGGATGGGTATTCAAAAACTTGTTTCCATGCTGTGTATTTTCTTTCTCTCTTGTATTTGTTTTCTTTTATCATTTATCCCCTCCTGGTATGTTATTTATGATAATGGTGCTAATAGAGACCTGTTTTAACTGCTTAGTAGCGATGGATGTCTGACTTTTGTTTTTACATGTGATTTATTGTATTGTTTGGTATATAGAGGGGGTTCCTAATGATACATACAGTTTATACTTCATATTTATATTATGACGACGTATGCAGTTTCCGGGAACATTTTGTCTGATAAGCAAAAGCACAGTCAACTGACTGAAGGAGACAAAAGGACATTGAGCAGGATTGTGACCTGGAATAAAAAAACAACTGATGAAAAATTGGCTGCCGAGCTCAGTCTCAGTCTTCCAAAGCCCGTGTCCACAAAAACTGTACGGAGGGAACTCCATAGGCAAAACATTCACAGGTGAGCTGCAACTACCAAACCACTAGTGACTGATATTACTGCTCAGAAGAGGACAGAGTGGTGCAACACTCATAAATCGTGGACTATCGATCAATAGAAAACTGTAATTTGGCCCAATGAATTGAGCTTCACACTGTTCCCAACCACCGGATGTGTTTACGAGTGGCGAACACTGTCCCAAGCTTACAACCAGGACTGTCTTGTGCCAATCGTAAAGTATAATGGTGGCACAATAATGGTTTGGAGAGCCATATCTTGGTATTCTGCAGGCCCCATCATCACCTTGAAAGATAGAGTCACTGCCTGCGACTATGTACAAATTTTGGCTGACCATGTGCACTCCAAAGTGCAGACATTGTTTCCTGAAGACAGTGCCATTTACCAAAACTATAATGCTCCGATTCACACAGCTGTTTTTGTCAAATCATGGTTTGACTAGCATGCAAAGTCTAGCACTTTCCCTGCACGCCTCAGTATCATAGAGCTGCTATGGTGATTTTTGGAGAACAAGGTTCAGGCTTGTTTTCCACCCCTGACATCTCTGTGAGAACTGGAATGAATTTTGCATATAGAGTGCAATCAGATTCCATTGTCCACCATCCAAGACTTACACTCACTGGCCACTTTATTATGTACACCTTGCTAATGCCAAGAAAATATCCCACACACCAAGACACCACCAGCCTGAACCGTTGATACAAGGCAGGATGGATCCATGCTTTCATGTTTTTTTTATGCCAAATTCTGACCCTACCATCTGAATGTCGCAGCTACCAGTCTGCCCATTATCCTCTGACCTCTGGCATCAACAAGGCATTTTCAGCCACAAAGCTGCCACTCACTGGATATTTTCTCTTTTTCGGACCATTCTCTGTAAATCCTAGAGATGGTTGTGCGTTAAAATCCTAGTAGATCACCAGTTTTTTAAATACTCAGACCAGCCCATCTGGCACCAAAAACCATGTGACGTTCAGTCACTTAAATCCTGATGCTTGATTTGAATTTCAGCAAGTCGTCTTCACAACGTCTACATGCCTAGATGCATTGAGTTGCTGCCATGTGATTGGCTGATTAGCAGTTGTGTTACCAAGCAATTGAACAGGAGTACCTAATAAAGTGTAGGTATATATGTCAATTGTCAATTCCCTGGAAAGTTCAGGCCGTCTTGGATGCCAAAGGCAGTCCAACACCATATTAGGTAACAATTTTCTTCTTTTACCTGGTGTTTCCATACTGGTGTGGTTTCCATACTGGTTGGTGTGTCCAACCCCTGTGCTTATTTTTATTATATATATATAGCACTACCCCCTTTGGGATTGCTGATGAACTGAGTCCCCCTATAGTCCTACACAGCCAGTCATTCTGCATTTCCCACACAAGCTTGCATTCGGAGACAGAAACCAGTCCTTGAGTGTTGGTTTTGTTGTTTTATTGAGGGAAACGGAACTTGTATAGGGTAGGGGGGTATAGGATGCCCAAGGGAACTGATATCTGAAGGCAACTTACTAAACTATTCACAAGCTTCTCTTCTCTGATGCAGTCTCTGTTGGAGTGCTAGCCAGCATATCCTAGTTGTACCATCCCCAGACCCTAGATGAACTCCTATTCACCCAGCAATCTGGAGACTTTCTTCCTGAGCAGGGGATCTGGCTCCTGTTCCTTTAGATGAAGTGAACAGTCACTAGTAGGGGGCTAGTCGGGTTTCCCACCAAAGTGCTCCTTCCCCTATCTGCCCAGGGGATGCAGGTGTTCTCACTCAGTCCTCTCCTGTACCACTTGAGGGTTGGCTGCTGCTAACAACATATATATATATATATATTTGCGGTATATCCACTGAAACATTATTTATTGGCTTCAAAGTAGCCAAATACATTTATCATTTTTTTGTCTAAGAAAAAAGGATTTTAATGCATTTCTATCACACAGAGAAGAGGTGATGGATGACAGCATCCCAGCGGTTTTCTGTATAAACTAATCTAATCGCTGCAGACGTTGATGTTTTGAAGTATAAGAGGAAGGAGAATGGTTTGCCTCTAAATATGGATCAGGCATTGTATCTGCTTCATTGTGCTTAAAAGGGAAAAAAATCTTTAGTTGCTGATGAGTAAAAGACAATTTAGAGAGGAGGCATTAAGATGCGGAGATTCCACTGGAAATTGCTTTGTCTGCTTTGCAGGTCGCTATTTACCAACTTAGGGGATGGATCTTTGTCATCTGTCTTATCTCTCTATCCATATCTTAATTTTCATATTTGGCTGATTGACATATTATCTGTATATGCTGTGCTCCTGTATAATATGCTGAACAGAGTGGCTGATTGAATCAGCTAACAAGAAAAACAAGCAGGATGAACAAGGCCTGGCAGGAAGATAGATATCTGGAGGAGACCCCACATTCTGCTAGTCTGAGACATAATGGACCACTGCTCTGACTGCAATTGTCTGTCCACATTGCCTTGTGTTTGTTCAATGTATCTTTGTGTGCCAGAAGGAAGGGTCTGTGTATATATATATATATAGCTCCACATACATATGGCAGATGGGTGGATGAGACTTTGCATGCGTGTAAAAGGAAGAAGATGGATGAAGCCCTACGTGTGGGCAGTTGGAGGAGGATGGATGAGGCCATGTGTGTTTGGAGCAGGAGGTGAATGGATGAATGTGTTCGTGTGTGCGTGTGTGTGTGCGTGCGTGTGTGTCTGTGTGTTGTAGCAGAGGAGGAGGACAGATGAGGCCCTGTGTGTGGGTAGCAGAAAGAGGATGGATGAACCATATCTGTTTGGGGCAGGAGGAGGACAGATGAGGTCATGTGTGCTTGGGGCAGGAGGAGGACAGATGAGGTCATGTGTGCTTGGGGCAGGAGGAGGACAGATGAGGTCATGTGTGTTTGGGGAAGGTGGACTAAAGATGAAGCAATGTGAGTTTGGTGCAGAAGGAAGGTGGATGAGGCTATGTGTGTATGGGGCAGGAGGAGGACAGATGAGGCCATGTGTGTTTGGTGAAGGAGTGGAAAGGATGAGACCATATGTGTTT